ATGAGAGTAAGGTCCCAAAGACAGACATCAACTTTGCACCTTCATCTTGCATTTTATTTCCTCTGTGAAAGTCAGGATGAGGACCTGTCTTTGTCTTTCTGTATCAAAAATTCAGAGATCTCATTAACGAGAACAGTGAGAATTGGCAACATTATAATTAAATCTCTCCCTGACTAGTAAGTTTAAGGAATAAAATGTTATGATATTTCTGTCCCGTTTGAAGTTTAATTCTTCTTACCAAAATGATGGCCAACTTTTCTGAATTTGTTTTTACTATAATATTTCCATTTCTTAAACCTCATTTGAATTTCTTATTCTCCTTTATTGGAGTTTGATTATTCATTTTGTTCTTTTATGGTAAACATCAAGAATATTTAATATTTTTATTCATACCTATACTCCCTCACACAATTAGTCTGATCTGCTTAAGCAGCTACTTAGAAAGAAAAATGAGGGAATCCCCACCATAAATTATGTGCTCATAATCTAAAAATGCCTAGTAGCTCATGCAAGTCTTTAACATTTCTCCCTCCAGATGGTGAGATTTTTAAGACCAGAATATAAGCCAACATATATAATAGCTTTTGGGGTGGTGTAAGTACACTGATTAAATATGGAATGAATAACTACCAGATAATTAAATAATTCCCTATATAATAAATAACACATGCAAATCCCTTGATCTGACGCATACTTGTTTTGACTGCATACCATTAAGGGTCATTCAGATGGCTGCCAGCCAGTTCCCCTTGTCCATTTCCATTGAGATACCTTGTACTAGGCATGCACATTTTTACCTTTGAGATTTTTCTCCTTTTGGAGGGTAATTTCTTTTGTATAATATAAACAGTTTTAAAGAAGTTGAATTTTCCCCTGAGCCAGATTTTCCCATCTTAAAAGTAAAATTTTCTCATTGATAAAGCTGAGCACTTTTATATATTGTCTGGCATTCGTGTTCTGGTGTACGTGCATTTTTAAACCACTTAGTGAATCAACCAATTGTGAAACACCATCTATTAAAATTCCATATATTTTCAAGTGGAGCATTAAATTTATCATACACAGACTAAATTAAGATAGGAGATCCAAGGCTGAACATAATGGATTAGCAAGAATGTGAAAGAAATCAATGATTCAGCATTTTTGATTAATAGTATATTCAATTTCTGCAAAACTGCTGGACTTTGATAAGAACATCCATGTTTCTTAATATTACTGAATAATAAAGCTCTCTACAAGCCATCATACACTTGGTGACTGGCATTCCTAGCAAGATTCAGTATCATAAAGGTATACCTCAACTGTGAAAAGTACTATGACAGGCTGAACTCCAAGTATTTATTTCTCCCTCTCCATTAAATTAAGCCTGAATCTGTTCAGCTCCAGGAAAATATATTTTCTTTTAATACCCGTAAATTGTATGCTCTTTGTAATCGAAGTTTTAAGAATTTTACAGTATGGGAATGAAACCTGTTCATCAAATTTCTCTTAACTTAATAGGGATCCAACCACATTAATAAATTATACACATGATTTTTTTAATAGAATGATAGTGATTACTTCCCTGTTTTACAACTTATAAAGAGATGATTCATTTTAAAATGACTGAACACCAAAAAGCTAGTGTGGACATGATAAACAGTGGATAAAACTGATGGATTTCTTTCCAAAACTCTAGTGTGAAACAAGTGTATTTGTTATGTGTGCTATGTGAAAAAACCATGACACACTTACGGGCTTAACATGATATGCAGTTATAATTTCACAGTATTTGTGTGTCAGGAATCTGGATATAGCTTAGCTTGGTCCTTGGGTTCAGGGTCTCTCATGAAGCTCAGTCAAGGTATCACCAGGCCTTGGGTCTCATTTGAAGGCCTGATTGGTGAAGGATTCAGTTCCAAACTCATTTACATGGTTGTTGCCAGGATTCACTTGATTTTGGGCTGTTGGACTGAGGATATCGTTGTTTTTTGTTTTTGTTTTTTCCCAGCTGGCTGTTGACAAGTGGTCACCTTTAGTTCCTTGCCACATGGGCCTCACTGGCATGGCAACTTGCTTCATCAAACCAGCAAGGGAAAGAGTATAAAGAGAACCTGCTAGATGGAAGTTATAAATCTCCTTCAGCCTAATCACAGAAGTGGCCCCTTTGCCATAGTCTATCTTAAGAAGCAAATTATCCCACATCAGGGGAAGGGAATATACAAGAGCTTGAATGCCAGAAGGTGGAGCTCACTGGAGGCCATCTCAGAGTCTGCCACAACAGAATGTTAATTGCAAGAGAATCTTTTTTCAGTTAAAAAGAGCAACATCATTTTCAATATAAGACACCTGTGTGCATATGTATGTGTGCCCATGTGTGTGCATGCATGACTAAATGATGTTTGACTTTAATATTTGGAAGCTACAAGAGGACCATGTTGCAGGATTTCTTTTTTCTTATATTCCATGGTTTTTAAAATTTGATTATCCAAAGTCTATTCTTCATAGATGGTTTGGTGCTATAGTATAATGAACAGGAATACATTTTGAAAATGTAGTTGAAGAAATAATGAGATCATGCATATGCCTTTTAAAAAGTCAGGTCTCCATACTCCCAACAGGGACACCATGTAGTAACAACAAATGTCTAAACTGTAACACCAGGGAGAATTCTTATGCATTATTTACTGAAGCTACGTAAAAGTAATAAAGGAAGTAATGATTCAAATACAATAAAAGAAAAATTGTGGAAGTCTTTTAAATAGACCAAAGAGAATACTGAGTATCCTCAGTGGAAGCAAGGCGTGATGTGTGAGCTAACTAATTTGATAATTTTTATATACTCCAAGTTTGTCACTGAGAAATTATATTAAAATTTATAGCCAGCTATTTTAAATTGCAATGAAAAAACACTTTAGTAAATTTTAGTAATAAAAAATTAAGGACATCTTTTAGAAATGAAAAGAGGTGGATATAATTAAAATGTTAAATTATAGTTGAAACAAAGATCATAATCATAAAATGTAATTGTAAGAAGTTCATTATTTTGTACCCTAATGTGTTCTTTCCATTTCAAAATGTACATTATATATTTGCTATTAAAAGAATAAACAGTGAATGAACTAAGATAATAAGAAGTGTTACAAACTATACACTTTAGAGAATGAATTTTTTCAAATATTCATTTTCTTGTTCTGTATATGCAATTTACTCTTTAACTCTCTGGACTAGTAATTTTTCTTTATAACATTAGAGGCTAATACAGTAATGGTCTTTAGTATACAAAAACCTTTACATTATGTAAGCATTCTTTGAATCATTAAATTGTAAGGTATTTATTTGATAGCCTCTTATTAAACTTCTGATTATGTATATAAATTATGAATATAACTATAGATGGTTATCAATATATATTAAGTGATGCAAAACATCATGCATTATTATAAAAAAATGAAGCGTAGATAGAGTGTACACCTAAGCACTTGGGATCACTGGCTGCTGCTGTTTTAACTCTTGAGTGGGAGGTGGAGTAACAGTGTAGTGGAGAGAGCATCCCCTGGGAATAACAAGAATTTCTTTAGCTATATGATACTGAAAATAAATCATCATATTTCCCTAGGCTATCTATGTTCTTTACATCTGTCAAATAAAAAGATGAATGGCCTCTATGACCCATTGTATGTATAAATCTTCTGAAACAGATCTTCATAGATCTACAAGAAACTATAGGAATTGTAGATATATTTTATTTTCTGCCTTGTGTTCTGGAGTTAGGTTAAAAAGGTATTTGTCTTTTATTTTTGTAACTCATGCAAGGGAATAAATCCTGTATTTGAAGTCAGCTGTACACAATGAATTATCGCCTAGAGAACATTTAAGAGCAGATTTGAGGGTGTGAAATACTGTAAAATAATAATGCAGATAAGAAAGTTTTTAGCATAACAGATACCATGATGATGACGACCAAAATGAGGTTTCAAATTTGTGGATAAATCCTTTAACAATGTTTATCTTTTGTATTGATTTTTACATACTATGTAAAATATACTGAGATAGTTTTTGTAAATATTGAGATGACAAGTAACCATAATAAGCTATCTATATTTTACACCATGTAATTCTTGAATTGCCATTTCCTTCCTCAAAGTTACTTTATCCGTATACCAAAATATCTGTGAAATGCAAAAGTTTTCTGGGAAAGTATTCTATCCTGCTATTATTTTAGAAGAGAAATAATAAGCAACCTTACTCTTTATTAATTAAGCAAAAAAGGATAGGAGAATGGCCTTAAAATTACTTCATCTTATCTTGGTTGTCAGAAGTATGAAGATTACATGTTATATATAATTTACAGTTGTACACATTGATGGTTTTATCCTCCAATGGATATATTCTGTTCTGTAAAACTTCAGCCATAGATAATTGTGTTTGGGGTTCTTAATAATGGAATTTATTTTCTCACTGAAATATCCCTTGAGGGGAGAAACACAGTATTTTATGTACATGATATGGTCATTTTCAAGTTCACTTAGTGATTTTTATTTGCTTAAAGAACTCAGCTTTCTGGGTTAAATGTTGTCTTGACAGAAAGGAAATTTTTAAAATGAAAATTGTCAGTCTAACAGTTTTAAAAGTGAAGTTATATTTAAGATGGTCTATTTCCTAGTAAATCATGATAGAGAAGAAATGTGGACATGTACCCCAGAAATATATGTGATACTGACAACATACTCCTATCCCATCACTAAATAGATTTTCCCTCGTTATTGTATGCAGTGAAGAGTCTCATAACTTTCTGTTTAGAAAAACAACTGAGTCATTTCAATGAAGAACCTGCAATGTAGATCTAATCATTCTTTGGAATACAGAATTCTTCATCCTAGATTACATGCTAACACTGAATGGCATTTACTCTGACACGTTGTTACACTGTAATTCAGTGTTTTTAGTTTATCCCTTTAAACTATGTCGATGTTCAAAACTGAAAGAGAAGAAAAACAAATCCATAGATTTTTGGAAAAGCAAAGAGAATATTTAATTAAAACTATGCAATTCTTAAGAAGCTACTTTATATAATACTACCATTAGCATTAAATTCTACAAATAGAAATTGATCTTAGACAGTAAATCTGTTTTGGTTCTGACTGACTCCAAAAAAGTTACAAGTTTACACTGTACAATTTCACAGCTGAAACAATAAATTTTTAAATAAATTAGAAATTATAAGCAACTGATATAGACATTAGAGACTTAGTATCACATGAAAATATCACAGCAGAAAAAATTTCTTTTTCATATGGCAAAATCAGTGAAACTACAAAAGAATCTTTACCTGTTTTGATTACAAAATCTGGTGTTGGTTATGTGAAAAGAAAAATAGTCTTCAAACCTAAGTAATCAAGATATATGTATAAACCTGTGTTCTTGACTGATAGCCATTTACCTCTACAGATTAGCAGCTATAAATGAAAAATGGTTGCATTCCAAATTTCCATTTATAATTAAATTGTTTGCATCTCTACTGATAATTTTGCACAGAAAAATTGTGCTGTTACATAATTCATAATGCAGCCAAAAAGGAAATCTTAGAATATTATATTACTAATGAGCATGTATCCTTTAGAACCACCATTTGTTATATAGTGTTTATAGTTCATATTAATCAAAATGCAGAATCTCAACTTTAGATTCTAACTTCTTGAGCTAGGGAGACTTTAGAAAATGTCTTATTGGGGATGTAGGTTATCGTCCTGCTGGTATGCTCATTAATGAGTTAGGCTGAATTTGCTTAAAAATTAATTTAAGTGTTATGATAACAAGGTTTGTAACTTTTTTTTTTTTTTTTTTTTTTTTTTTTTAGCTGTTTAGAAAGCAAAACACCAGCCAAGCCACAGGAGAAGGGCGTGTGCTCATGTCAGCAAATTCAAGTCATCCTACTCCTGGAGCCAGAATGGAGCTGAAAAAGGTTCCAGATAATTCTAGCTCCCAGCATTCAAGTCAACTCCAGCCTTTGATTCTTCCTATGGGAGGCTCCAGACTTCATGGAGGAAACAGTCATCCTCATCATTCATCCCCTCTCCAAATCTCTGAAACACAGAATTGGTAAGCATAAAAAACGTTTCTTTTAAAGGGCTAAATTTTGGGCAAACATAACTGGTCTATGAGTTTACTGTTGATAAAAGACTTACTTCTCACTTAATGAAAGTAAAATATCTTTCTAACTCTAGGTATATACTTTAAATGATCTTATACTACAGTAATAAGATAAAATAAATGATCTATCTTATCAGTATCCACACTAATAAGGCTAACCCAATTTTAACATAAAAAAGAGATGAATGCCACCCTGATTCACACCAAAAAATACTATTAATATTTTAAATGTGCCCGGGGGAATGATACAGAAACAGAAAAACTTCTCTAGAAACTACTAGCTCAGAATCTTTTTTCTGTTAGAACCCAAGTACACACTATGCATTGGAATCTTTAGACAAATCAAACTAATTGGATAATTGAGGTTTAAATTTAAAAAAGAGCTATATGTCTTTTCTCTTTTTATCAGATTGTATATTTTAATTTTTAAAATAAGATTTGTGTGTTTTTCATGAAGAGGTTAGGTAATCTGAATGTCCTGTCTTACACTTGTTTATAGATCATATAAGCCAATACTATTATAAATTACTTAAAGTTAACAATAGTGTATAATTTATTTATATTGAATTATTCTGGTAAGTTTTAATATTAGTGGTAATTATATACAATAGTGTTTGTGTTTAAATATAATTTCCAAGATCTTTAATTGACTCTAAGACTGTTATTTGTAAGCTTGTTATTTTAAGATTTTATTTTGTCATCTTTCTTTTTAAATACCTTTCTGTCATAATTATAGAAAGTATCATTTATCATTCAGTTAGATTTATTTGCTTTTATCAATTTTTACTGAGGTATTGCTGACATGGTATATTTGTTTCAGATGTACTACACAATGAGTAAATATTTGTATACTTTGCAAAATGATCACCAAAATAAGTCTAGTTAACATCGTCACCATACATGATTACAAATTTTTTTTGTTATGAGAACTTTTAAATCCTTTCTCTTAGTGACTTTCAAATATGCAATACAGTATTATTACCTGTAGTCACCATGCTGTACACCACCTTTATCCTTCTCATTCACCATCCCTGTCTCCCAACTTCTGGCAAACATCCAAACATTAATCTCTTCTCTATATCTATGAGCATGGGTGTTCTGGGTTTTTTTGGGGCTTTTGTTTGTTTTGTGTTGGTTTTAGATTCCACGTATAAGTGAGATCATATGGTATTTGTCTTTCTCTGTTTAACTTACTTCACTTAGCATAATGCCCTCAAGGTCCATTCATGTTGTCACAAATAGCAAGATTTCCTTTTTTAAGACTGAATAATAAATAAAATATATTTGTGTGTATATGTGTATATATGTATGAGAATCACTTCCAGCTGTGTCATTAAAGTTGTGTATGTCCATCTCTACACATGCCTACACCAACTGACTGTTTTCTTTCTGTAGAAATGCCAACACCATCAATCGTGGTAGAGCTCTTAGAATCAAAGACAGTCTGCTGCGATTATATGTATAATTACAACTTCCTTATCCATTGAGGGCATGTCTGTTTTCATATCTTGTCTATTATAAATAATGGATCAGTGAACATGGGGCAATTATATTTTTGAGTTATTGCTTCATTTGCTTTGGATAAATACCAAGAAATAAAATAGCTGGGTCATACGGTAGTTTAATTTTCTGAGAAACTTCCGCACTGTTTTCTATAGGGGCTGCACCAATTTACACTCACACTAACGGTAATAGGTGTTCCCTTCTCACAAAATCCTTGTCAAAACTTGTCATTTCTCATTTTTTGGATAATAGTCACCCTAGCCGGTGTGAGGTGATATTTCATTGTAGTTTTGATTTGCATTTGTCTAATGATTAATGTTGCTGAGCCTCTTTTTTTTAATTGAAGTATAGTCAGTGTCAATTTCTGGTGTACATCATAATGTCCTAGTCATGCATATACATACATATGTTGATTTTCATATTCTTCCTCATTAAAGGTTATTACAAGATGTTGAATATAGTTCCCTGTGCTATACAGAAGAAATTTGATTTTTATCTATTTTTATGTATAGTGGTTAACATTTGCAAATCTCAAACTCCAAAATTTATCCCTTCTTACCCCCTTTCCCCTAGTAACCGTAAGATTGTTTACTATGTCTGTGAGTCTGTTTATGTTATGTAGATGAGTTCATAGTGGCCTGTTTTCTTTTTATAGATTACACATATGAGTGATACCATATGGTCTTTTTATGGAAATTTTATGGTTCTTTTTTGGCTTACTTCACTTAAAATGATGATTTCCAGGTCTGTCTATGTTGCTGCAAATGGAATTATCTTATTCTTTTTTGTGGCTGAGTAGTATTCCATTCTATAAATATACCACAGCTGCTTCATCCAGTCATCTGTCCATGGGCATTTAGGTTGCTTCCATGTTTTGGCTATTGTATACAGTGCTACTATGAACACTGGCATGCATGTATCTTTTCAAATTAGACTTCCCTCCAGGTATATGCCCAGGAGTGGGACTGCTGGATCATATAAGTCTATTTTTAGTTTTTTGAGGAATCTCCATACTGTTTTCTATAATGGCTGCACTAAACTACATTCCCACCAGCAGTGTAGGAGGGTTCCCTTTTCTCTACACCCTATCCAGCATTTATCATTTGTGGACTTTTGAATGATGGCCATTCTGACTAATGTGAGGTGATACCTCATTGTAGTTTTGATTTTCACTTCTCTGATAATTAGTGATATTGAGATTTTTTTCATCTGCCTATTGATCATTTGTATGTCTTCATTGGAGAATTGCTTGCTTCAGTCTTCTGTCCATTTTTGGATTGGATTTTTTTTTGTTAATAAATTGTATGAGTTGTTTTTATATTCTAGAAATTAAGCCTTTGTTAGTTGCATCATTTGCAAATATTTTTCCCATTCCATAGGTTGTCATTTTGTTTTACTTATGATTTCCTTTGCTGTGCAAATGTGTATAAGTTTAATTAGGTCCCATCTGTTTATTTTTGCTTTTATTTCTATTGCCTGGGTAGACATCCCTAGGAGAACATTGCTAAGATTTATGTCAGAGAATGATTCATGTACCTGTTGGCCATCTGTATGTTTTCTTTGGAAAAATGTCTGTTCAGGTCCTCTGCCCATTTTTTAATCAGATCTTTTGGGGACTTTGGGGTTTTTTTTTGTTTTGGGTTTTTTTGTTTTGTTTTTTGCTACTGACTTGTATGAGTTCTTTGTATATTTTGGATATTAACCCCTTATCAGATACATGACTTGCAAATACTTTCTCCCATTCAGTATGTTGACTTCATTTTGTGAATGCTTCCTTTTGCTGTGCATAAGCTTTTTAGTGAGGTGTAGTCCCAACTGTTTATTTTTGTTATTTCTACCTTTGCTCTTGGTATCATATTTTTAAAAATCATCACCAAGACTCTAATTTATCTTGAGTTAATTTCTGTGTATAATGTAACAGTGGTCCAGTTTCATTCTTTTACATGTGGCTGTCCAGTTTTCCCAATACCATCTATTAGACTGTTAGTTACCTAATGTATATTTTTGGCCCCTTTATTATAAATTAGTTAACCATATGTGCATGGGTTTATTTCTAGGCTTCCTATTCAGTTCCATAGATCTGTTTTTAATGCCAATATCATACTGTTTTGATTACTACAGCTTTGTAATATAGTTTGAGGTCATGAAACATGATGCCTCCAGTTTTGTTCTTCCTTAGAATTGGTTTGGGTATTCAGGGTACTTTTTACCATAATGTTTTAAAATTTGAGTACTGATATTATCCCAGATTTTTATATAAAAAGTTTCATAAGGAGAGTGATTTTATTTACAAATTTTAGAGAATAGGTTAGATTAAATTATGAATTACAAAAATGTACTTTGTTCTAAAATTTATGCTTAATATGTAAAAGCACAATTATAGACATTTCATCTAAAAGTCAAATAGTGTAAATAAACTTGTGAAATTTTACTTAAAAATGAGATATACTTTTGATACAAATCCAAAATAATATAAATAGGATAGAAACAATAATTGAGGATATATTAAATATTATGATAATTTTGTCTATAAATATGAGCTATAATTTATTTAAGTGAAATTAAAACAATTGAATATTTGTACTATGTAAAAACATGACAATATAAATAAGTCAAAGAAATATGTATGTGTAGGTATATTTATACTTATGAAATTTAAGTTACTTAACTTCACATGTCTTATAGTTTTTATATTTTACCCTTATCCTAACCTGGTAATTCTAGCAATGCCTACAGAAGTTTTTATCTACTATGAAAACAAAATTCAACATTCATAAGTGTTTCTAATTGGCCTATGAATATAATGATTAATTTTTATTTACATTGCTCTTTAATAAATTCTGTGAAGATTCAGGTAATGTATTACTTAAAAGAAATGAGTGTGTTATTTTGGCATTACTACCATGCTCTGGGCAATATACATTAGTTTAGCCATCCATTATTCATTGATTCACTCATTTAACAAATAAATATTGAGCATCTACCATACGGTAGGCACTGTTATTAGGACGTGATATTAACCAATGAACAAAATTTGTGTTTATGTTACATTGGATCCATTCCTCACATGTATCTGCTAAAAAAAATCAACCCAACCTGGCCACTACCACTACAAAAAAAATTTTCATTTAAGACTGTTCAAGTTAAGACTCTGCCAAATAACCTGCATTAATGAACTCCCGCAACTCTATTTAAAAGTCCAGCCTTAAGGATCATGCACATCTGTCTTTAAGTATTTTCATCAGGTGACTATTCTAGTCATAATTTTTTCTCATATCAATGAAGCCTATTATTTGGCATTTATTAAAAATTACATTTTCTACATATAATGCTCCATCTTCTGTTATCTTCCCAATTTCTTTCACTTAACTGTTTAAAGCCTTCAGTGGTATCTTGATGATCTTCAATATACCAGGAGGAATGACTCAGGATTTCCATATGCTACCATGCTACCAAAGAGCACCCATAGAGTGCTGAATATTAAACAAAGAATAAGCTCTCTTCTTAATAAACAAGAAAGGTACATAAAAAAGCAAGATGAATAAAGCCATCTGCTTGAAGTCATTGATGTGAACTAGAAAAAAGACAAAATCATAATCTGTCATGGGCATTAGTAAAACCTTGGTTTCAATTCTATTACTATGATTAGTAATGGTATGACTACAATTGCAGTCAATTACCCACTAAATTTCACTTCGCTTATCAGGAAAAAATAAATAATAGCAACTATCTCATAATGTAGGTTTCATAATTATACACATAATACACTATTTTATATTTAGGTATAGTTGATTTACAATATTGTTTCAGGTGTACAAAATAGTGATTGACAAATTTTAAAGGTTATACTCCTGTTACAGTTCTTATAAAATATTGGCTTTATTCCTTGTGCTGTACATGATATCCTTGTAACATATATTTTATACTTGGCATTTCGTAGCTCTTAATTTCCTAACCCTATTTGACCCTCCCCACTTCCCTCTCTCTACTGGTCCCACTTGTTTGTTCTTCATAGGTCTGAAGTCTGTTTCATTTTTACTGTATTTACAAGTTTGTCTTATTTTTTTTAGATTTCACATGTAAATGATATCATACAGTATTTGTCTTTCTCTGTCTGATTTATTTCATAAGTATAATACTTCCAAGTCCATCCATGTTGTTGCAAATGGCAAAATTTCATTCTTTTCTATGGTTGAGTAGTATATCAGTGTATATAAACATATCACATCTTCTTTATCCATTCATCTCTTGATGGGCATTTAACTTGCTCTGATGTCTTTTTTTTTTAAATTTATTTTTAATTTTTTAAATTTATTTTGATTTTGTTTTTCTTGAGGGGAGGAGAGAGGTAATTAGGTTTGTTTATTTATTATTAATTTTTATTTAACAGAGTTACTAAGGATCAAACCCATGACCTTGTGCATGCTAAGCATGCACTCTACCACTGAGCTATATTCATCCCCTCTGCTTTCATGTCTTGGCTGTTGTAAATAGTGCTGCTATGAGCATTGGAAGCATATGTGTTTTCAAATTAAAGTTTTGTCTGGATATATGACCAGGAGTGGGATCGCTGGATCATATGACAACTCTATTTTTAGTATTTTGAGAAACCTCCATACTGTTTTCCATTGTGGCTGCACCAATGTACACTCCCACCAACAATGTACAAGGGTTTCCTTTTCTCCACATCCTCTCCAGCATTTGTTATCTGTAGACTTGTTGATGATAGCCATTCTGACAGATATGAGGTAATATCTTGTTGTTTTGAATTGCCTGTCTATAATAATTATCAATGTTGAGCATGTTTTCATGTCTCTGTTAGCCATCTGTATGTTTTCTTTGGAAAAATATCCATTCAGATCTGCTACTCATTTTTGATTGGGTTGTTTATTTTTTGATATTGAGTAATATGAGCTGTTTATATATTTTGAATATTAACCGCTCATCAGTCAAATCATTTACAAATATTTTCTTTCATTCTGTAGGTAGTCTTTTGGTTTTGTCATTGATTCCTTTCCTTCTGCTGTGCAGAAGATTTTAAGTTTAATTAGGTCCCATTTGTTTAATTTTGCATTTATTTCTTTTTTCTTAAGAGGCAAATCCAAAAAGATACTGCTATGATTTATGTTGTAGTGTTCTGCCTTATTTCTCTTCCAGTAGTTTTATGGTTTTAGGTCTTACATTTAGGTCTTTAATTCATTTTTAATTTACTTTTGTATATACTGTTAGGAAATGTTCTAATTTCATTGTTTTACATTGTAGCTGTAAGTTTTCCCAGAAACACTTGTTGACAAGACTGTCTTTTCTCCATTGAATATTCTTGTTTCTTCTGTTATAGATTAATTGACCATAAATGCATGGGTTTATTTCTGAACTATCTATTCTGTTCCATTGTTCTGTGTGTCTGTCTTTGTGCCAGCACCATTCTGCTTTGATTAATGTAACTTTGTAGTAGAGTATAGCCTGAAGTCAGAAGGATAATACTTTCAGCTTTATCTTTTTTCTCAAGATTGCTTTTGCAATTGTTTCTTTTGTGAGTCCATAAGAGTTTTAGGATTATTTTTACTAGCTCTATGAAAACCATCATGGGTATTTTGATAGAGATTGCATTAAATTTGTAGATTGCCTTGGGGAGTATGGTCATTTTACAGTATTAATTCTTCTGATCAAAAAGCATAGGATTTCTTTCCATTTCTTTGTATCATCTTCAATTTATTTCATCAGTGTTTTACAGTTTTAGAGTATAGATCTCTCACCTCCTACATTAAGTTTATTCCTAGGTATTCTTTATGTGATTTTATTCATGACTTTTTACTTTCTCTTTTGGATATTTCATTATTAGTATATGGAAATGCAGCAGATTTCACTATCTTAATCTTCTACCTTGCAAATTTCTGAATTCACTTAATAGTTCTAATAGTTTTGGGGTGGAGACTTTAGAGTTTTCTATTAAAGTAAGTAATCTGCAAATAGTGGCAGTTTTACCTGTTCCCTTCCAATGTGAATGCCTTTTATTTTTCTTGTCTGATTACTATGGCTAGGACTTCCAATACTATGTTAAATTGAAGTGGTGAGAGTGGGCATCTTTGTCTTGTTCCTGAACTTAAAGGAAAGGCTTTCAGCTTTTTAAAAATGTGTATGATGTTGTCTGTGAATTTGTCGTAAATGGTTTTTATTATATAGAGTTAAGTTCCCGCTAGACTCACTTTGATTAGAGTTTCTATCATGAATGGATGATAAATTTTGTCAAATGTTTTTCTGCATCTGTTGAGATGGTTGTGTGATTTTTATTCTTCCTTTTGTTAATGTGGTGTATCATACAAATTGATTTATGAATGGTGAACCATCCTTATGACCCTGGAATAAATCCAACTTGATAGTGTATGAACTTTTTAATATATTGTTGGATGCAGTTTACTAGTATTTTGTTAAGAATTTTTTCTCCTATATTTATAATTTTCTTTTTTGTAGTATCTTTGTCTGGTTTTGGTATCAGGATAACAGTGGTCTCCTGGTAGGAACTGGAGATGTTTCTATCTGCTTCAATTTTTTTGAAATTGTTTTACAAGAATAGATATTCACTTTTCTTTATATATTTGGTAGTATTCCCCTGTGAAGCCATCTAGTCCTGGACTTTTGTGTGCTGGGAGTTTTTAAATTACATATTCAATTTCACTACTAGTGATTGCTCTGTTCAAATTGTCCCTTCTTGATTCAGTCTTGGCAGGTTGTATGTTTCTAGAAATCTGTCCATTTCTTCTAGGTTGTCTAATTTGTTGGCATGTAATTGTTCATAGTTTTCTCTTATGATTTATTTGTATTTCTGTGGTATTAGTTGTTATTTCTCCTCTTATGCCTTATTTTGTTTTTGTTTTTGAGTCTTCTCTCCTTTCTTCTGATATGTCTGGCTAAAGGCTTATCAATTTTGTTAATCTTTTCAAAAACATGCTCTTGGTTTTATTTCTTTTCTAATGTTTTTTTTCCCTATTTCTTTTCTGATCTTTGTTATTCTCTTTATGCTACTGCTTTGGGCTTTGTTCTTTTTCTAATTATTTTAGAAGGTAAGTTAGGTTGTTTATTTGAGATTTTTCTTGTTTTCTGAGGAAGACCTGTATCGCTATGAACTTTCATCTTAGAGCCACTTTTGGGCTGCATCCCTTAGACTTTAGAATGCTGTGTTTTCACTTTACTTTATCTACAGGTATTTTCTTATTTCAAATATGATTTCTATACTCACCCATTGAGTTTTCAAAAGTATGTTGTTTAGTCTTCAAGTATTTGATCTTTTCTCATTTTTTCTTAGAGTTCTATAGTTGAAATCTAGTTTCATATTGTTGTGGTCAGAAAAAAAATGCTTGCTATAATATCTGTCCTTTTAAATTTGTTGAGATTTGTTTTATTGCCTAGCATGTGATCCATCCTGTAGAATGTTCCATGTGCACTTGAAAAATGTGTATTCTTCTGTTTTGGGGCACAATGTCCTCTAGATACTTATTAAATCCAACTGGTCTATTGTATCATTTAGGACCACTGTTGCCTTACTGATTTTATGTCTGGATAATCTGTCCATTTATATCAGTGGGGCGTTCAAGTTTACTATTACTGTATTATTGTCAAGTCCTCCTTTTACGTCTGTTAGTATTTGCTTCATATATTTAGGTGCTTCTGTATTGGATGTATATATGTTAATGAATGTAATGTATCCTCTCCTTGTATTGATTCTTTTATCATTATATAATGCCTTTTTTGTCTCTTGTTGTAGTTTTCACTTTAAAGTCTATTTTGTCTGGTAGGAGTATTGCTCTCCCCACTTTCTTGTCATTTTCATTTGCAGGAGGTATCTATCCATCCCCTCACTTTCAGTCTCTGTGGGTCTAGCTCTGAGGTGGGTCTTCTGCAGGCAGTATATTGAAGGGTCTTGGATTTTTTTAATCCATTTAGTCACCCTATGTCTTCTGATCAGAGCATTTAGTCCACTGACATTGAAAGTAATTACTGATGGGTGTGTACTTATTGCCATTTTATTACTTGTTTTCAGTTTTCCCTTTTCATTTCTTTCTTTTTTTCTTCCCTTTAGGTTTGATGATTTCCTTAGTAGTACACTTGTGATTCTTTCATTTAGTTTTTTGTATAGCTATAGGTTTTTGATTTGTGGTTCAATGGATTCATGTATGTTGACCCATAATGTTTAAAACTAGTAGTAATTTAAGCTCAAATACATCATAAGATAGCTACATTCTTTACTACCTTCCCCCACATTTTGGGGTTTTGTCTTCATATTTTACATCTTTCATGCTTATCTCTTAACTGTTTATTGTAGTTAGAGTTGCTTTTATTCTTTTCTTCTTTTAACCTACATATCTTCAATTCTTACTATATACTTGCCTTTTTAATTAGGATTTTTCTTTTCCTACAGATTCTTACTACTTTTCCATTTAGAGAAAACCCTTCAACATTTCTTTTAGAGTAGGTTTAGTATTGATAAGTTCTTTTAGTTTTTGCTTGCCTGAGAAATTTTTTCACTCTCTATTCTAAATAATAATGTTACTGGGTGGAGTATCCTAAGTTCTAAGTTCTTCCCTTTCTTTGGGACTTTGAATATATCATGTTACTCTCTTCAGGCTTGCAAAATTTCTGCAGAGAAGTCAGTTGATAGCCTTACGGGGATTGCCTTGCACATGGTTCTTTGTTTTTCTCTTGCTGCCTTTAGAATTCTCTCTTTATCTCTCTTTTGTCATTTTAATTATGAGATATCTTGGTGTGTGGATCTCTTTGGGGTCATCTTGTTTGGGACCCTCTATTCTTCCTGTACTTGGATATCTGTTTCCTTCTTCTGGATTGGGATGTTTTCATGCATAATTTCTTCAACTACATTTATGATCCTGTCCCTCTTCTCCTTCTGGAACCTCTATATTGTGAATGTTATAATGCCTAATGTTGTTCTAAAGATCTTAGATTGCTTTCATTTTGTAAATTTCATTTTTTCTTTCTCCTGTTCTGATTGGTTGATTTCCGTTATTCTATCTTTCAAACCACTTATGTGTTCTGCTGTATCACTTAATCTCCTTTTCATTCCTTCTAGTGTGTTTGTTTCAGCCATGGAATTGTTTTTATGGTTTATTTATATTTCCTAGTTTTTTGAAAAATATTCAGTGTTTAGATCAATTCTTTTTACTAATTCAGTTAACATTTTTATTACCACATTTTGAGTTCTTTATTGGTAATTATTTATTTCTGTTCCATATTTTTTCAGGGTTTTTTTTTTCTTGCTCTTTCAATTGAGAGTAGTTACTTTGCCTTTTCATCTTAACTTTCTCTGCCTTTATGAATTTACGTGAAATGGTTACTTATTGTGGTCTTGAAGGGGTTTTCATCCCCTTCAAGGTGAGTGCATCCCTATGCAGACTGCCCAGTGCTTTTGGTGGAAGAGCTGGATTTGGTACAGATGCCAGTTAAGTCTTTGCTCAGGATGTGCTGGCAACTCTCACCTTGTTAGTGGGTGGGGTCGGAGGTGGAGTGGTTAGAAACTGGCAATGGTGTGAAGTGGGACTTCGTCTCTGGTTAGTGACTGTCATTACCTCCTCAGGGATAGGATCTGATCTCAAGTTGCTAAATCAGAGCACTGAGCATTGGATTTGGGCTAGCTCTGTTTCCTTTAAGTGTAGGATTTTTCCTGTCCCTGTACCTGGATATTTGCCTCAGTAGAGGGGAGTGCTGAAGCAAGAAGAGCCTATATGCATTCAGAGGTCTGATGCACTGCTTGTGTAGGTGTCTTCAGCTCTGCTCAAATGCAGCCCATAGTCGAGCTGGTCCTGGCCATCACATGTCCAGTGCCATACTGTGTGGTATGATCTAAGTGGGACTGGAGCATTTTCTTGGTTTGAGTTGGGTGTACTAGGCTGAGGCATACTGTGAGGTAGTCATGGAAACCTGTCAGCCTCTAGAGCACACCTCTCTCTGAAATGTCTAAGGAACAATATATCCCTTTGTCTCTCATAGCTGATCACTGTCCCCAGCTTTCACCACTCCCATCTTGCTCTGGCACCACTCTGCACATGAAGCAGTGCCCATATGTTTCTCTGCATGTATGGTTCCTCATGAGTAGAATCCAAGTTTCTTCAGTCTTTCTGTCTGTCCCATAATTTCTTCAACTAGCCAAGGGGGCTTGTCTCCTCCATGTAGGACCCCAGAGCTGGGATGCCCAAGTCTATGGCTTAATCCACTAACTCCCCTGTGTGAGTGTCTGCCAGTTCAATCTCCATTTTCCTCTGAGTCCCCTCCCAGGAGCATAGGTCTGACCTGATCACTTTTCTTCCCTTCCTACCCAATTATGTGTGTATCTTTTTTACAGTCTTGGTTGTACAGGAGTCTTTCTGCCAGCTTCATTAGTTTCCAGTGAGGACTGTTCCACATGTAGATTATTTTTGATGTGTTTGTCAGGGGAGGTGAGTTCCACATCCTCTTATTCCACATCTTGATTACCCTCACTATGTCTTTCAATGGGGTATATAGTCTATATTTTCATTTAAAGTAATAATTTAAAGAAAAAATGTATTGTCACCTTGTTTTTTTCTCATGATTTTTTTAGTCCTTTTTTTTTTGGAGGGGGGTTCTTTTCCTTTTTTTTTTTTTTTTGCTATTGATGTGCTTTTATTCTTTTCTTTTTCTTTTGTGTAACTTCTGTAGCTATTTTATGTGTATATGGTTACCTTGGGACTTACATTGTTGTTATAGGATATTTCATTTATTTTAAGCTGATAAAAAACTTAAGTTCAATTCCACACAAAAACTCTGTTAATGTCTCATCTATACACATTTTAGGTGTTGTCACAATTAATATCTATTTATGTTGTGTATCTTTAACATATTTTAGTTATAGTTATTTTTAATACTTTTATACTAGAATTAAGTTATTTACCCACCACCATTTCAGTAATGTAAAATTCTGTAATATTTTGTATTAGGCTGGTCTAGCGGTTATGAACTCTTTCAGTTTTTGTTTGTATGGGAAAGTCTTTATCACTCCTTTATTTTGGAAGGACAGTTTTGCTAGATACTGTATTTTTGGTTGGCATTCTTTTTCTTTCAGCCTTTGAATATATCACCCATTCACTTTTGGCTTGCAAAATTTCTGCTAAAAATTATTTCCATGATGTTATGGAGATCGTTTTGTATGTGACAAGTTGCTGTCCTCTTTTTGTTTACAAAATTCTGTCTTTGACTTGATAATTTCTTTGGGTTTTTATTATTTGGTTACCTTTCAGCTAGCTATTTGTATCTATATGTTAATTTCCATACCCAGATTTGGGAAGTTTTCAGCCATTTTTTTGGAGTAAGCTTTCTGGTCCTTTCTCTCCTCTCCTTCTCAAATTCCTATAATGCATATATTATTTCACTTAAGATATCCCTTAAGTCCCATAAAATATATTCACATTTTTAAAAAATCATTTTTTCTTTCCTGATTGAATTATTTGTCCTGATTTGACTTTGAGTTCACTGATCCTTTGTTCTGTTTGATCTAATATTATTTTAAAATTTGTAATCAAATTTTCAGTTACCGTGATTTGTTTAGTTTTTTTTTTTAATATTTTCTGTCTCTTTGTGGAATTTTCAGTTTGTACATAGATTGTTCTCTTGACTTAGGTGAGCATCTTTACAAAAGTCATTTTAAAATTCTCTATTAGGTAAATCATATAACTGTTTCATTAGAGTCAGTTTCTCAAAATTTATCTTGTTCCTTTGGGATATCTTTGCCTGATTCTTTATTTTTCTTGACTCTCTTTTTGATGTTTGTGCATTGGACAAGGCAGGCACTTCTTGTAGTCTTCATAGACTGGCACCTCTCCTTGTCTCAGTGCTGAACTTCAAACAGCTTCAAAGGTGGTAAGAGAAAATTTAGTTCTCTGGGCAGCCCCAGAGAAGTTTCAATACTGATGCACAGATAAACTTTTTCCCCCTCCAAGGAGGAAGCTGAGTGTGTCATTTTTGCCTGTTCACTCTGTGCTGGGCAGGGAGTGGGAACAATGATGTCTGCCAGCCCAAGTCACCATTTCTGTACTCCCCTGGGCAGCTATCTCATGCTGGAACATCAGATTTTCAAGAAGGCCAAGACAGAAGCCGGACTTCTGTGTATCTCCCTTGTAAAAGTTGAGGTACTAGATGCATGAGCAAAGCCTTCTCTTCTTGAACGAAGCTGAGAGGTATAGAGTCTCTTCCTGATCACATGGCACTGTACCAGAGGCAGTCTTTGGTCAGCAGGTATCTTGAATCTCCCTACTTGTTTGGTGAGTCTGTCTTTGTGTTCTCTTGGGGTGTAAGAGACTTTGAATTCATTTCTGATTTCTCACAAAGGGAATGTGTTCATGAATTGTTACTGAAATTGTGTGTTTGTTGGGGAATGAGGGTCCAGGGCTTGCTACTAGGCATCTTCCTAATATAATTCCTCTGACCTCTTTGGCCATTGTTTGATGTAGGGGACAAGGCTTTTTATTTAAACATGGGTTTATTACTAGAAATTCTAGCTGAGCCTTATTAATAACATATTTATAGTTTTCAGTTTTGGTTTATTTCAGTTTACTCAGAGTAAATCAACCTACTAATCAATACAAGTATATAGTCTTTCATAGATTTTATAAGATTTTCCAGTCTTTTACCATTATCCTGTCCACACAAAATGCTGTAATTATTTCCTAAATATCTGACTTACCATCAGTTTTTTTTTTCAATCAAAAGTATAGACAGCATCAGTCAATGAAATGAGTAGGACCATAGAGGGTAAGAAGAGCTTCTGTGAATACAAAAATATAAATATTAACTAAAGGTGTCAGGCATTATTAGGTGTTTTGGAGAGATTAATTACACCATTAGTATTAACCCAAAATCTGTGAAGTAAGTCAGGACCCAAATTAAAACAAACCAACCATAATATACAGAATGATTAGGCAAAATCTAAAGTTAACTGGCTACTAAATGATAAAATCAATATTCAAACTCATAACTGTCCATTCTTCCCCTATGGCATTTGTCTCTTCATAAAATATAAACTTTATAATAACATGAAATATTCTTTAATTTCAACTAGAATATTTGAGTCAATATAGCTTTTCTATTTTAATAGAAAATTTTTATAAGTTCTTATTAACTGTACATTAAATTTGAAAACATTCAATGTATTTTCAACAGTAATACCTTATTGTTTAATGAATCATATATATATAAGGTAGTTTAATGCTCCATAAAGCCAGAAAATCACATATTTGGCATATACAATGACCACTTTTCTAACCCTCCTATTTCCATTAAATATTTTCAGACAGAGGAATATACTTTGTTTAAAAAATGCAATCCAATAAAATTTCAGTAAATGCTTTTTTTAGTAATCTGTGTTACCATAGTCATTTGACAGTTTCAACTTCAAACTAAAACTGAATTAATAGCAGTCACCAAGAAGAAAATTAGGGAAGCAGAAAAAAAACAGGAATTTCAATCACGGCAAATGCATTTTCCGTAAAGAAACATTCATTATAATATATATAATATTATAATATAATATAAAAACATTCATTATAAAAATTCTTTTTAATTTTTTTCTCTTGCAAGCTTTTTAAAGAACACTAAAGGTCATATAAATGATAGGATAATTTTTTACATCATTTTTAATAAAAATTATTTTAGCTCTGCTTCAAAAATGAATGTCTTGTATGTATTATTTTCTTGCAGTTTTTCCTTCCATTTGTCTCCTTTCTCATTTATTTTCTCTATGTTCTGCTAAAACTTCTCTACTATTTTTCATTGACATGAGGTAGTACTGTAACATGAGGTAGTACTGTAGTGTTGATGTCACATTAGGAAATTTATGCTGTTATTTCCTTTAAGAATTTGAATCTACTGTGGGTTTTAGTGTGCTTTGATTTCATTTTTTTTTTAATTGTGTTTTGGTTTAGTTGACTTGAAATTTCTAGTTGTTGAACAAAAGAAGTTTCTCTAACAACTTAACACAATTCTTCAATAAACTACCACCAATATTAAAACTTCTGCAACTAGTACATATAAATTTAGCATTTCAGTATTTGGGCACATAAATAAGTGGTGACATTGGCAGATATGTAAGGCAAATGAAAATTTTTAAACTCATATATTTGAATATTTCAGATAATATTACTTTGATCTTCTTATACTAACCCATTTCTGCAGTTGCACACATGATAAATAACTTTATAAGGTGTGAATATGAATTTTGAAAACCACATGATAAAATGAAGTCCTTACTAAGGGTACCTAAATGACCGCCCACCCAACAGCCATATTTCAACATGGCTTCCTTTTTGTGTGATAAAAAAGAATAACTTTGTTGAAATAATGTATGATGAGAAATGAAGCAGTCTATTATTATGATACAGAATATTGAATATAGTCTTTTTAATGCATACCATCTACATTACTTAAAATATAAGCACATCTTTTAGTATAGCTTTTGCTCATATCTGTGATGTTTATTACTCATTTTGTAATTAAATGGCAGAATGACAACTCATGAAAAAGTAAAGCATAATTTAAATTATTAAATAAATTGATAAACAAATAAAAAGTAGTATTTTATTTACCATAAAATGTACAACTATGTAGAAAAATCATTAGGTCTTTTCAAATTATATTCAAGTAATTGCTTTTTGGATAACAAGAATGTAGTTGTCTATATATTGTCTTTTCATTTTGTTTGTTGTTTCCTTTGCCATACAAAAGCTTTTAAGTATAATGAGGTCCAGTTTGTTTGTATTTGCTTTTACTTCCATTACTCTAGAAGACAAATCCAAAAAATATATTGCAACAATTTATGTCAAAGAGTGTTCTGCCTATATTTTCCTCTGGGAGTTTTAGACTAACCAGTCTTACATTTTGGTCTTAAATTCATTTTGAGTTTTTTTGTTTGTTTTTGTTTTTTGGGGAGTTTTTCTGTATATGATAGAGAATTTTCTAATTTCATTCTTTTACATCTAGCTTTCCAGTTTTCCCAGCACCACTTATTGAAGAGATAGCCTTTTCTCCATTGTATATTCTTGCCTCTTTTGTCATAGATTAATTGACTATAAGTGTGTGAGTTTATTTCTGGACATTCTATCCTTTACCATTGATCTGTGTGTCTGTTTTTGTGCCAGTACTAGATTGTTTTGATTAATGAAGCTTTGTAGTATAGTCTGAAGGCAGGACACCTGATTCTTCTAGCTCCATTCTTCTCTGTCAAGATTGTTTTGACTATTCAGGGTCTTCTGTTTGCATGCAAATTTTAAAATTAAAAAAAATTTTTGTTCCAGTTCTGTGAAAAAATGCCATTGGTAATTTTACAGGGATTGCATTGAATCTGTATATTGCTTGGGTAGTATGGCCGTTTTAACAATATTGATTCTTCCAATCCAGGATCACAGTATATCTTTCCATCTGTTTGTGTCATCTTCAGTTTCTTTCATCAGTGTCCAACAGTTTTCAAGTACAGGTCTTTTGCCTCCTTAGTAGGTTTATTCCTAGGTATTTTATTTTGATGCAGTGGTAAATGGGGTTGTTTCCTTACGTTGTACTTCTGGTGGTTTATGGTTAGTGTAGAGAAATATAACAGATTTCTTTATATTAATTTTGTATCCTGTAACTTAACCAAATTCATTGATGAGCTCTAGTAGTTTTCTGGTAAAATCTTTAGGATTTTCTATGTATAGTATCATGTCATCTGCAAACAGTGACAGTTTTACTTCTTCATCCTCAATTTGGATTGCTTTTATTTCTTTTTATTCTGATTGCTGTGGCTAGGACTTACAAAACTATGTTGAATGAAAGTGGGGAGAGTGGTCATCCTTCATCTTGTTCCTGATCTTAGAGGAGATGCTTTCAGCTTTTCCTTATTAAGTATGATGTTATCCATGAGTTTGTCATATATGGCCTTTATTATGTTGAGGTATGTTCCTCCTATGTCCACTTTCTGGACAGTTTTCAGCTAAATGGATGTTGAATTTTATCAAAAGCTTTTTCTGCATCTATTGAGACGATCATATGGTTTTTAATCCTCAATCTGTTAATATGATATATCACACTGATTTATTTGTGGATACTGACAAATACTCACATCCCTGGGACAAATCTCACTTGATCATGGTCTATGATCCTTTTAGTGTATTGTTGGAGTCAGTTTGCTTGTAGTCTGCTGACGATTTTTACATCTACATTCATAAGTGATATTTACTTGTAATTTTCTTTTTTTGTGATATCTTTATTTAGTTTTGGTATCAGGGTGATGGTGTCCTCATAGAATGAGTTTGGAAGTGCTCCTTCCTCTGTAATTTTTAGGAAAGTTTCAGAAGTATAGGTGTTAACTCTTCTCCAAATATTTGGTAGAATTCACCTGTGAAGCCATCTAGTCCTGGACTTCTGTTGGGGAGTTTTTAAATTACTTACTCAATTTTAGTTCTGTTAGTTCATTTTCTATTTCTTCCTGGTTCAGTCTTGGGACATCATACCTTTCTAAGAATTTGTTGATTTCTTCTGGGTGTCCATTTTATTGCCATATAGTTGCCCATAGTATCCTCTTAAAAGTCTTTGTATATCTGTGATGTCACCTGTAAATTTTCATTTGTGATTTTTATTTATTTGGACCCTCGCCCTGTTTTTCTTGATGAATCTGGCTACAGGTTTATCCATTTTGTTTTTTTCAAATAACCGGCTCTAGTTTCATTGATCTTTATAAACTTTTTTAGTCTCTATTTCCTTTACTTCTGCTCTGATCTTTATGATTCCTTTATTTATACTAACCTTGGGTTTTGTTTGTTCTTACACCTAAAGCAGCTAGGGAAAGGTTAGGTTGTTTATTTGAGATTTTTCTTGTTTCCCTGAGGTAAGCTTGTATTGCTATAAACTTCCCTCTTAGAACTTTTTTTGCTGCATTCCATAGGTTTTGGACCATTGATTTAATTTTGATTTGTCTCTAGGTATTTTTTTCTTCTTCGATTTCTTCACTGAGCCACTGGTTGTTTAGTAGCATATTGTTTAGCCTTCACTTTGTGTTTTTTGCAGTTTTTTTTTTTCTGTAGTTGATTTCAAATCTCAGAGCACTGTGGTTGGAAAAGATACCTGATATGATTTCTATTTTCTTAAATTTACTAAGGCTAAGGCTTGCTTTGTGGCCCAGCATGTGGTCTATGCTGGAGAATGTTCCATGAACACTTGAAAAGAATATGTATTTTTCTGCTTTCAGATGGAATGCTCTATAAATATCAATTAAGTCCATCTGGTGCAGTACACATTTAATGCTTGTGTTTCCTTACTGATTTTCTGGCCAGGTGATCTGTCCATTGATGTCATAGGGTGTTAAAGTCCCCGGCTATTATTGTGTTCTGTCAAATTCTCCCTTTATTTCTGTTAACATTTTGTTATATATTGAAGTGCTCCTACATTTGTTACATTTTCAGTTTTTTTTTTTATTTGGCGGGGTAATTAGGTTTATTTATTTATCTTTAGAGGAGGTACTGGGGATTGAACTCAGGACCTTGTGCATGCCAAGAATGTGCCCTGCCACTTGAGCTATATATATCCTCCCCACCATTGCATTTTTAATGTACACTTAATGTTTTAAATAGTAAATTTTACATTATATATAACCACACTTTTAAAGTTAATAAAAATTCAAATATATCAAATGTATCAGATTTTTAAAATATAAATGGAAAAAATTATTGTACCAAGATTCTGCTATTGAGTGAATTGTGTCCTCCTGGATCCAAATTCATATATTGAACCCCTAATGCCCAATTTACCCCCTTTATGTGTAAATATTTCAGTGTTTTTCTTCTCAGAAAAGATTCTCCCTTACTTCACTGTATTATGAAATGAACAAAATTTAACTTTGATACAATACTATTATCTAATCTATATTCCATATTCAAATCACATCAATTGTCCCAATGTTAAATAGTTAAATTTGTGGGAAAAGTAACTTAAATCTTTTATTGGTTTAACCAGATGTCAAAACAGTCATCTCTTCTTTCCACCATTTCAAACACATCATTTCCTCTTTGGCATTTACCTTGAAAGATAATTTTAAATCTCTCAGGACTACAGATCACATCTTGAATATTTGAATGAATATGTGCACTTAATGTTGCAGGAATTTCTGTGTTGGTCCATATAGCTCCTTTGGAAATTTCATAGAACTACACTTGTGATATAATAACAACCCCTCTGCAAGATGAGTTATTATAGTTGATTTCTGTGGCTTTCTGTTGTCTCACCATATCATGTTGTATTTGCATAATGTCAATAATACCAAGACACAGATTAAAGGCTTCTCATCCATATCAAAATGAAGGAAACATTCCTGATGAAATTAGAAAAGCAGAGGTACTTTGGAAATGA